TGCTCAGGTGACTCATCATTGTCATCTGGCTTCTTCTTCTTCTTCCCAGTCTTCTGCTTCTTTGATGGACTGCCTGTTGTTTCTTCTTGCGCAAGTGTTGGCAGTTCAAGATCTTCATCTTGTTCTTCTGCTTCGGGATTTGTAAGAATCGCAGGTGGTGAAGGTACCACGACAGTCGGAAGAATTGGCTGAGATGATTGCGACTGTGACGGCAAAGAGACATCACCCCCCACTCGATTGAGTCCACTTGAGGATGAAATGGATTGTTTTTGCCATTTAAGCACTGCATCTCCTCCGCCAGACTTGTCGCGTGGCGGTAGTGGAGGATCCACTGGACTGTCTGGCAACACACTGCGTGGTGCTGGCGGCATGGGATGATCAGGCTGATGTGGAGGATCCGGAGGAGGATCTGACATGCTCTCGTCCGGAGGTGTTGGAGGTCTTGGATCAGGCATGGGATGGTCCGGTTGATCAGGTGGTGGCTGTGCGTCAGGTTGCTGAGGCGCATCCGTGGGATCCCATGGATCCGTCTCGATGGGCATCGGCCTGATGGCCGGCGCATCGGTGAACGACTCATGAACGGATGAAAACATCACAGCATGCCACGTCTTCGGATCATACTTCTCCCAATTGCATTTTGATGCAGGCAAGACCCAAATTCTATTCAGCTGATCAGGCTGCCAGAAGGATATGATTGCATCGTCCGGAGGTGACGTAATAGGCATATTGATGCCAATGGTGTGGACGTATGCAGCGCATGCATCATACTGCGTGGATGAGATGCACAGTTGCCTCAACTTCTTGCAGCCGTTCCACATGCTCTGACATCGCCAGTCATTAGGATCTTGCTTGAAGATATCAATTTCAGTCCCAGGTGGGTACTGCTTCATCGTCTTCTGGAATTTCTGAACTAGCGGATCTTGAATGACTAATGGTTGAACATCCTTGTTGAACGGCAGGTCTTGGATTCTGACTGCAAGACTGCTGCTGGTCATGTTGAACTCCTTGTCAATGGCTTCCATCTCCTTTCTCAGGATATCAACCTGCTTGATGGTGAATGGTTCAAAAAGGTCCTCCAAGAGGTACACCTCGTTGTCACGCGGTTTCACCTGCAAGTGTCGTAAGATGATGTGCGCAAGGTCCTGACAGAACTGGTAAGGATACACCTGTGCCAGTTTGGTTCTGCTTCCGAAGGAACCAGCGTTTCCCTCTAGGGGTTGGTGTTCATGCTTTACTGAGCTGGAAAAGTTTTTACACCTTCTGAAGATCGGTCTCATAACCTCGGAAGGTAAGCAGTGCATCAAGCTCGTGGGCTTGAGACTTCTGAGCCCGGATTCAGGATCTTTTAGTCCGTGTGCACACAAATGGAAATCTCCCCACCCAGGTCACGGATGGGTCTGAAAACAATTGCTGCATGCATTTCAGATACCATATCCTGCATGTCTGAGGATTTTCGATAATGAAGTATCTTCTGTGCTTCAACTGGCAACGCGCAATGGATGCCACAAATTCAACCATGGGAAGGTAGCGTTTCCGCTTTTCCCCCACCTTTTGCTGGTCTTGCTGGATGTTCTGCATATTTGACCATGGTCCGCAGACTGGTGCCATAAGGATGACATCAGGTGCTTGTTCCCTGATGATCTCCATGACCATGTGTCGTCCCTTGGATGTCATTACATCGAATCCTGCGCGGATGTCCACGGGAGTCCCAACCTTAAGACCTGACAGTGCACAGCATTGACTGAATCTGGCACTTCCTGCAAAGATCTCGAGAACGTGGATCTTTCCCTTACGTACACAGTTCCAATGTGCTTGTTCAGGAATAGATGTGAGGTCCTCGACGAACATGTTCTCTGCTGGATGAGGTGCTGCAGGTTTTGGAGTTGTTGTTTTCCGCGATACGTGCATCGTTCTCCTCGAGGACCCAGAACGTCTCTTCATCGTTGTTTGACATGAATCCTTCAAGTCCTTCTTCATCCTCAACCCAGAAGCCTTCTTCTCCTTCGTATTCACCTTGTTCGATGATGAAGAATGTGTTGCTTCGGCTGCCTCCTTGAGGTCGGATGGATGGATCTTGGATCGATGTCCTCGTAGTGATGAAGAGTTCATGGTAGCGTGTCTTCAGCATCTCATAGGAATAATTCTCGAGTGAGATGTTCCTAAATGACATTGCACTTGTGAGTCGTTCTCTTTGTTGATCTGACAACTCACTTGGTATAATGAAAAACTGTGCAATGAGATTATCCCCGAAGGGAAATGCGTCCCGCTGTCTGTCCTGCATTCCTTGGATATATTGTCTGAGGACTGTAGGATCGTCCTCATTTAGCAGGGCTGGAGGCGGTGCTCGAGCACCGGCTGCTTGCTGATGTCGAGCAATTGTTCTCGCGTTTGCGTCCTGTACGGACTGTCGGAATGATGGAGACTGTGCCGTAAAGATTGGCATCAAGTCCATCCATGCTGCCTTCAATCTCATGAGAAGGATCTCGAATTTTGAGGTAAAAATGAGGAACTCTTGGTTCTGCCTTCTGTGGTTGAAGAAACTGAGGAGTCTGTACAGATACACGTTGGTCGCACCTTTCAAAAAGTACTTCTTCAGCGTGTTCTTGAAATAGTTGACTCCTTCATCAGGATCTTGCAAAAGGTCATTTTGGAGGACGGCCTTGTACATGTAAGCATCTCCAGTGAGCCTGCTCTTAAGCAATGGACCTCGCTTGGCTGCTTCTACTGTGGTGATTGTCACCCAGTCGTCCACGAGTTCTTCATACCTGAACCAGCTGACTTTTCCGTCGTACGATGGCGGCTGCTTGGCGGTCATCGATAAATTAAGTGTTTCCTCCATGTAGCTCGGCTTTGCCGAACTTGTGTAGGCTTCCATGAAACCTTCTCCATCTGATGACATCTTCCCTTGGATCTCTGCGGAAAACCCGCTCCGCTACCACAAATTGAGGCCCACTGCCCCAGGTGCCTATCCCCGGAGGAAACTGGAACCCTGTGGTAGTTGAGGTCGTTGTTGGTCCCTGATCTATTCCGGAGAGAGTCCAGTATGCCTACAATGGATGATTGGAGGATGGATTGTCCCTGGTGGATTGTCTGATGGATAATCCTGTAAGCGGCCTGCAATGGCTCTTTTGTCCTCACGCTCGAATGGTCGTGATTGTGCAAAAGGGGCCTTGAGCCAAATGTTGCGGGAGATCAATCTGTGCGAAAACAACACACCCCCCCCCCACAGAAGAAAAAAGAAGTGGATTGGCGCATTCCCGATTCTCGCTCGCGAACGCCGCACCGGAGAATCAAGAATGCGCCCATCCAACTGAGGGGGTCTCCCCCCCCCCCCCCAAGAAAAAAAAGAAGAAGTGGATTGGCGCATTCCCGATTCTCGCTCGCGAACGCCGCACCGGAGAATCAAGAATGCGCCCATCCAGCTGAAGGGGTCTCCCCCCCCCCCCCCACAGAAACAAAAAGTGGATTGCCGCCATCCAACTGAGGGGGTCTCCCCCCCCCCCCCAAGAAAAAACAAAGAAGTGGATTGGCGCATTCCCGATTCTCGCTCGCGAACGCCGCACCGGAGAATCAAGAATGCGCCCATCCAGCTGAAAGGGTCCCCCCCCCCCAAGAAAAAAAAAAAGAAGTGGATTGGCGCATTCCCGATTCTCGCTCGCGAACGCCGCACCGGAGAATCAAGAATGCGCCCATCCAGCTGAAGGGGTCTCCCCCCCCCCCCCACAGAAAAAAAAAGTGGATTGGCGCCATCCAACTGAGGGGGTCTCCCCCCCCCCCAAGAAAAAACAAAGAAGTGGATTGGCGCATTCCCGATTCTCGCTCGCGAACGCCGCACCGGAGAATCAAGAATGCGCCCATCCAGCTGAAAGGGTCCCCCCCCCCACAGGAAAAAAAAAGAAGTGGATTGGCGCATTCCCGATTCTCGCTCGCGAACGCCGCACCGGAGAATCAAGAATGCGCCCATCCAACTGAGGGGGTCTCCCCCCCCCCCCAAGAAAAAAAAGAAGAAGTGGATTGGCGCATTCCCGATTCTCGCTCGCGAACGCCGCACCGGAGAATCAAGAATGTGCCCATCCAGCTGAAAAGGTCCCCCCCCACAGGAAAAAATGGATTGGCGCATTCCCGATTCTCGCTCGCGAACGCCGCACCGGAGAATCAAGAATTCGTTCATTTAATTGAAGGGGTCGGCGGCACTGGGCGGCAGCCCTTAAATATATCATCATATATCAGCAAAGCTCCCTTTGCAAGACCATCCTGATTTTTCGCCAAACCCATTCGCTGGCCAAGTGGGGAGCAGAAACTCCCCGCAGAGAAGCTGCCATGTGACCAAACCTCGGGGATTCCGCGGGGATGAAGCCTGAGATAGTTGCTAGACAGTTGGGCGATCAAAGGAGAGATTTCGCCCACGAAGTCGGAAAACTTACCCTGCCAGCGATTGACATGGAACCTGACCCCAAAGGACCTG